AAGATTATACCTTTTTTTAAAGGTTTAACCACAATATTTGTTGTATTATTTGGTCAGTTTTTTTTTCTGGTGCATTAAACTGAAATTGCAACCAACTTCCTATGGCTTGTTTTAAAAATAGCTATATTTTGGAGATTATTTCGTTTTCAAATAACCGAAAGTGAGAGATTGTAATCTGAATAAAGGGAAAAAGGCCATTCTTGAACATGGGGTGAGACATTCTTACTAATCAGCTACAGAACCAGTTCAGATTTAAATATAACTTTTGTATGACTGACACCTTTAGTGAGAGGTCTAATGCTTTAATATTTAATCATTTCTGCCCTCCGAATTCATATTCATTATATAAATAGGCCCGTTCAATTTTGTCTGGCTTGCCGTTTCCAAATAAAATAGAATACTTTTTGCTCTTATAATTTCAAAAACAGGTCGCTAGGTGTAAGACCAAAAGCAAATAGGTAAACTGGGATATGACTAAAGAGTTAATCAGGGTGATTTTTCCACAAATAGACAGGTATTTTCCTTTCCATGATAGCAAGATATTATCTATTTTTGTTAACATTTATTTATTTATTTATTTCGGGATATGTATACCGAGTATGTCCACATAATTTTATTGGTAAACTACACAGTAATGTAAAAGTTGTATTTTTTAGTGATCCAGAGAGGTTAGAAATAGTATCTAGATCCTCTACGAGGCTGTGGAGGGATCCAAATTGTGGATTTAAAAGAAAACATGAATCATCAGCGTACAATGACACCTTTGTTTTTAAGCCCTGGATTTCTAACCCCTTGATATTATAGTTGGATCTGATTTTAACAGCTAACATTTCTATGGCAATAATAAATAGATATGTCGATAGTGGACAACCTTGTTTTACTCCTCTTGACAGTTTAAAACTTTCTGAGAAGTAGTCTTTATTTACACCTATGGTTACTATACATAACTTTAACCCATTTTATAAGGATTGTCCAAAATTGAAATATTCAATTTATATGTAAACTCCAGTCGTATCAAAACCCTTTTCAAAGTCAGCTATGAATACCAGGCCTGGTTTTCCAGATTTTCCATAGTGTTCTATTGTTTCCAGTAGTCTTATATTATCTCCAATGTATCGTCCATGTAAAAAACTTGTCTGATTAGGATGAATAGTATCCAATAATCCCTTTTTAATTCTATGCGCTATGCATTTTGCTAGAATTTTTGCAGCACAACACTGAAGTGTAAGAGGCCTCCAATTGTTTAAATGGACTGGATATTTATATTTTCACTTCGAACCTGTTTCAGTAATAATGAAATCAGACCTTCTTGTTGCATTATTGTAGCCATTTTCTGTAGCCTGTCAACTATGCCTCTGTCTATCCCTGTTCTCTCCTCTCCGCTCAGGCTATACAAATGCCTCACACTACGTGGCTGCTGCCTCTCTAACCTGGTGGTCCCTGCACGCACGACCCACGTGGAGTTCCAGGTCTCCGGCAGCCTCTGGAACTGCCGTTCTGCGGCCAACAAGGCAGAGTTCATCTCAGCCTATGCTACCCTCCAGTCCCTCGACTTCTTGGCGCTGACGGAAACATGGATTACCACTGAAAACACTGCTACTCCTACTGCTCTCTCCTCGTCTGACCATGTGTTATCGCATACCCCGAGAGCATCTGGTCAGCGGGGTGGTGGCACAGGAATCCTCATCTCTCCCAAGTGGACATTCTCTCTTTTTCCCCTGACCCATCTGTCTATCTCCTCATTTGAATTCCATGCTGTCACAGTCACTAGCCCATTCAAGCTTAACATCCTTGTCATTTATCGCCCTCCAGGTTCCCTTGGAGAGTTCATCAATGAGCTTGACGCCTTGATAAGTTCCTTTCCTGAGGATGGCTCACCCCTCACAGTTCTGGGTGACTTCAACCTCCCTACGTCTACCTTTGACTTATTTCTCTCTGCCTCCTTCTTTCCACTCCTCTCCTCTTTTGACCTCACCCTCTCCCCCTACTCACAAGGCAGGCAATACGCTTGACCTCATCTTTACTAGATGCTGTTATTCTACTAATCTCACTGCAACTCCCCTCCATGTCTCCGACCACTACTTTGTATCCTTTTCTCTCTCGCTCTCCTCCAACACTACTCACTCTGCCCCTACTCAGATGGTAATGCGCCGTCGCAACCTTCGCTCTCTCTCTCCCGCTACTCTCTCCTCTTCCATCCTATGATCTCTTCCCTCTGCTCAATCCTTCTCCCTCCAATCTCCTGATTCTGCCTCCTCAACCCTCCTCTCCTCCCTTTCTGCATCCTTTGACTCTCTATGTCCCCTATCCTCCCGGCCGGCTCGGTCCTCCCCTCCTGCTCCGTGGCTTGACGACTCATTGCGAGCTCACAGAACAGGGCTCCGGGCAGCCGAGCGGAAATGGAGGAAAACTAGACTCCCTGCGGACCTGGCATCTTTTCACTCCCTCCTCTCTACATTTTCTTCATCTGTTTCAAAGCCACTTTCTACCACTCTAAATTCCAAGCATCTGCCTCTAACCCTAGGAAGCTCTTTGCCACCTTCTCCTCCCTGCTGAATCCTCCTCCCCCCCTCCTCCCTCTCTGTGGATGACTTCGTCAACCATTTTGAAAAGAAGGTTGACGACATCCGATCCTCGTTAAGTCAAATGACACTGCTGGTCCTGCTCACACTGCCCTACCCTATGCTTTGACTTCCTTCTCCCCTCTCTCTCCAGATGAAATCTTGCGACTTGTGATGGCTGGCCGCCCAACAACCTGCCCGCTTGACCCTATCCCCTCCTCTCTTCTCCAGACCATCTCCGGTGACCTTCTCCCTTACCTCACCTCGCTCATCAACTCATCCTTGACCGCTGGCTATGTCCCTTCCGTCTTCAAGAGAGCGAGAGTTGCACCCCTTCTCAAAAAACCAACACTCGATCCCTCTGATGTCAACAACTACAGACCAGTATCCCTTCTTTCTTTTCTCTCCAAAACTCTTGAGCGTGCCGTCTTTAGCCAACTCTCTTGCTATCTCTCTCAGAATGACCTTCTTGATCCAAACCAGTCAGGTTTCAAGACTGGTCATTCAACTGAGACTGCTCTTCTCTGTGTCACGGAGGCTCTCCGCACTGCTAAAGCTAACTCTCTCTCCTCTGCTCTTGTCCTTCTAGACCTTTCTGCTACCTTTGATACTGTGAACCATCAGATCCTCCTCTCCACCCTCTCCGAGTTGGGCATCTCCGGCGCGGCTCACTCTTGGATTGCGTCCTACCTGACCGGTCGCTCCTACCAAGTGGCGTGGCGAGAATCTGTCTCCGCACCACGTGCTCTCACCACTGGTGTCCCCCAGGGCTCAGTTCTAGGCCCTCTCCTATTCTCGCTATACACCAAGTCACTTGGCTCTGTCATATCCTCACATGGCCTCTCCTATCATTGCTACGCAGACGACACACAACTAATCTTCTCCTTTCCCCCTTCTGATAACCAGGTGGCGAATTGCATCTCTGCATGTCTGGCAGACATATCAGTATGGATGACGGATCACCACCTCAAGCTGAACCTTGGCAAGACGGAGCTGCTCTTCCTCCCGGGGAAGGACTGCCCGTTCCATGATCTCGCCATCACGGTTGACAACTCCGTTGTGTCCTCCTCCCAGAGTGCGAAGAGCCTTGGCGTGACCCTGGACAACACCCTGTCGTTCTCCGCTAACATCAAGGCGGTGACCCGATCCTGTAGGTTCATGCTCTACAACATTCGGAGAGTACGACCCTGCCTTACACAGGAAGCGGCACAGGTCCTAATCCAGGCACTTGTCATCTCCCGTCTGGATTACTGCAACTCGCTGTTGGCTGGGCTCCCTGCCTGTGCCATTAAACCCCTACAACTCATCCAGAATGCCGCAGCCCGTCTGGTGTTCAACCTTCCCAAGTTCTCTCACGTCACCCCGCTCCTCCGCACACTCCACTGGCTTCCAGTTGAAGCTCGCATCTGCTACAAGACCATGGTGCTTGCCTACGGAGCTGTGAGGGGAACGGCACCTCCGTACCTTCAGGCTCTGATCAGTCCCTACACCCAAACGAGGGCATTGCGTTCATCCACCTCTGGCCTGCTGGCCCCCCTACCTCTGCGGAAGCACAGCTCCCGCTCAGCCCAGTCAAAACTGCTCTGGCACCCCAATGGTGGAACAAGCTCCCTCACAACGCCAGGACAGCGGAGTCACTCACCACCTTCCGGAGACACTTGAAACCCCACCTCTTTAAGGAATACCTGGGATAGGATAAAGTAATCCTTCTACCCCCCCTTACTCCACCCCCAAAAAATAAATAAAATAAAAATACATATTGTAAAGTGGTTATCCCACTGGCTATAAGGTAAATGCACCAATTTGTAAGTCGCTCTGGATAAGAGCGTCTGCTAAATGACGTAAATGTAAAATGTAAATGTATCTGATAATCAAATTTTTTTGGTAATTTAGCAGACGCTCTTATCCAGAGCGACTTACAGGAGCAATTAGGGTCAAAGGTCTTCTTACTTGCAGGTGTTGGTGAAGATCATGATGGACCAGTCGTCGTGCTCGTCTTGAAACTTCTGGATCAGGTGCACCAGGTAGGCATCTTTCACTTTCTCTGGTGTCAGGATGTACCTTTGATCCAACTCCTCTACCGTGCGGACCCTATGAGAAAAATACACTTACAATTTAAGTATGTTGTAGCAATATAGCACATTTTGTTAAAAAGGGCAAAGAGCTACTCCATTTGTTGATAATCAAGAGAGCAAATAACATTCATTTTACCAGTCAATTAAATTGAGAATCTTTTCCCACTCAGCTCAGTGAACAATTTATATGTCAAAATGTTTAAAATACACATGGGCACACAAATGACATACAATTATGGAATGGAACATAAGACAGACAAATGTCCTGTTTTTAAGAATTAGGTTTACCTCTACATGCATGATTGAGCAACTAATCATGTAATGTACCAATGTAGTGCATCATGTTGTCAGTCATGCTAAGAGCTTACTCTGACTTGCTCTCCCAGAAGAAGGGCTTGTTCATGGCGATGCCCTTGAGCTCCTGCAATGTGTCTGTGAGGGTGGCACTGAACAGCAGCGTCTGGCGTTTGGCAGGCACCGCGGCCAGGATCACCTCCAAGTCTTTGGTGAAGTCTGTGCAGCCTTGCTCAAGCAGGCGGTCGGCCTCATCAAGGATCTATCAAAGACAATTACCATTAAGCCTGTGCATTACTATTAGCATTATATCACGAAGTAAAATGTCAAAGTAAAATGTCAACAGTTACCATTAGGCTCTATGACTTGTAACATTTTGCAGAAGATATTTAACTAAATAGATTTTACTTCCTATTAGAAGGCATGCAGACGCCCGTGCATCCTGACAAGTACAATGATAAATCAATAGGCTATATTAAAAAATGTAACACTAATGGAGGAAAAAACATTCTGCTCAACACCCAAGGTTGTTAATAATATAAAGGTAGTTCATAACAGTCTCACTGTTTTGGTTGACAGTGAGACATCCTCACCTAGACATCCTAAAACATAATTGCCTTTGTGGCCACATCGATTAATTTATTATCTTTCAAACTCACCAGAAACTGGATCTTCTTGATGCTGAAGGTGTCGGAGCTCCGAATGTGGTCTGCCAGTCTTCCTGGAGTGGCTACAACGATGTGGGGCTTCTTAGAGAGTTCCAAGGCCTGTGTGATCATATCTGTTGGGAACATCACCAGAACATTAGAACATACTGGATGAATGAATAAGAATGCAATGAGAGGCAGTGTCGTTGGTAATCAACATTACCCATTCCACCAACAATGATGCAGTCCCGCAAGCCCATTGGTTTTCCCAGGACTCTGAACTGTTCGGCAATCTGGTAAGCCAATTCCCTGCAAAGGACACAAGTTTAAACATTACACAAGATTGAACATTACATACATGCCTTTTGCAGTAGATATGCCTTTTAAATTACATGTTGGTCAATTATTGCCCTAGATAGTTCAAAATTATCAGAAGATTCACCAACCTGGTAGGTGTGAGAACTAAACAGAAGATGCCATATGGGTCCTCAGATAATTTCTGTAACACTGGTAGCACAAAGGCGGCTGTCTTTCCACTGCCAGTCTTGGCACAACCCATACAATCCCGACCTAGACAACAAAGGGGCAAAATCATATCTCAAAAAAAGCTAGTTAGTCTACTCTCTTGATCAGGTCGTTATTGTAGCCAGAGATTATGTATTCTCATTAAACTGCTACCTGGGTAAATACATGTTAAACCTTATTAAAATACAATAAACATTACAATGAATAACACAGTTTGCTAGCAGGGTACGCCAGGGTAGTGGGTTCGATCCCCGGGACCACCCATACGTAAAAATGTATGCACACATGACTGTAAGTCACTTTGGATAAAAGCGTCTGCTAAATGGCATATTATTATTATTATTATTATTATCAAACGTTAAGTGTTACCTTCCAGAATAGGTGGCATACAGTTTTCCTGGACTTGAGTTGGTTTACTGATCCCCATTTGTTTACATTGTTGAATCAGCCAATCTGACAGACCGAGAGAGGAAAAATCCGACATTTTGCAGTTTTCCAAAGTTCCAGATTGCAAAATATAGAATATACTTTGTTTTGTGAGCCAAAGTGTTCAAAATGATCATCTGAAAATCATCCTCGTGTTATTTTACGTCTGTCGCATTTTGGTGACGTCAATATTCGCTCCTCCTATGGATTACGTAATTGGTCCTATTTTCAATACAGCAGGCAGCAGATAATATTAGGTACATTTTATATTTATATTATATATTTTATATTTATATTTATATTATATTTATATTTTAGTCATTTAGCAGACGCTCTTATCCAGAGCGACTTACAGGAGCAAGTAGGGTTAAGTGCCTTGCTCAAGGGCACATCGACAGATTTTTCACCTAGTCGGCTCGGGGATTAGAACCAGCGACCTTTCGGTTACTGGCACAACGCTCTTAACCACTAAGCTACCTGCCGCCCTATTTTATATTCACAAATGCAAATGGTCTAATTCAAAACCTAACTTTTTCCACTTTATAAATGAATTTAAACAATATGGCACTACTTTAACTAAAATGAAAAACAAAAAGGCAATTAAAATGTGTTGTATTATTAATGAATATGATTTGTTTGTTTAGGATTCCTGGTAATGTAAATAGTTTGTGTGTATGCTTGTTTGCATGTGACTATTCCTCTTTTGTTTGTTGATATTTATTTGTTAATAATAAAAAATAAAAAATAAATAAATCAGCAGAGATGTATATAATGACGAGATGCTCTTCGCCCTAACAATGGTAGTCGTTGTCCCAAAGACGGGAAAGCATGCGACCATATAAACGCATTGGGCTTATTTTGGACAAATCTTCACCTCTTCCTCTCTACAGGCAGTCATTCATCATTACAGTACAAATGTATTTTGGATCAAAATATTCCACTTCATTAACAGCAGTTCACAAATAATGGTAAAGTATGTCCCAGGAAACAAGTTTGCAGCAAACAAGGATGTAATTTGAAAAAGTCACTGATCTGGAAACTCGCAATCACGAATTCAGCTTAAATAATTATTTTTACAAAATAAAATAAAATAAATGTGTATTTGTCACATGCACCAAATACAACAGGTAGACCTTACCGTGAAATGCTTACTTACAAGCCCTTAACCAACAATGCAGTTCAAGAAATAGAGTTAAGAATATATTTACTAAATAAACTAAAGTAAAAAAAAAAAAAAAAAAAGTAACAATAAAATAACAATAACGAGGCTATATACAGGGGTACCTGTACCGAGTCAATATGCGGGGGTACAGGTTAGTCGAGGTAATTTGTACATGTAGGTAGGAGTAAAGTGACTATGCATAGATAAACAGCGAGTAGCAGCAGTGTAAAAACAAAGTGTGTGTGTGTGGGGGGGGGGTCAATGTACATAGTCCGGGTGGCCATTTCATTAATTGTTCAGCAGTCTTATGGCTTGGGGATAGAAGCTGTTAAGGAGCCTTTTGGACCTAGACTTAGCGCTCCGGTACCGCTTGCTGTGCGGTAGCAAAGAGAACAGTCTATGACTTGGGTGACTGGAGTCTTTGAAACATTTTTGGGCCTTCCTCTGACACCGCCTAGTATAGAGGTCCTGAATGGCAGGAAGCTTGGCCCCAGTGATGTAATGGGCCGTACGCACTACCCTCTGTAGCGCATTACGGTTGGATGCCGAGCAGTTGCCATACCAGGCAGTGATGCAACCAGTCAGGATGCTCTCGATGGTGCAGCTGTGTAACTTTTTGAGGATCTGGGGACCCATGCCAAATCTTTTCAGTCTCCTGAGGGGGAAAATGTGTTGTCGTGCCCTCTTCACAACTTGGTGTGTTTGGATCATGATAGTTTGTTGGTGATGTGGACACCAAGGAACTTGAAGCTCTCAACCTGCTCCACTACAGCCCCGTCGATGTTAATGGGGGCCTGTTCGGCCCTCCTTTTCCTGTAGTCCATGATCAGCTCCTTTTGTCTTGATCACAATGAGGTTGTTGTCCTGGCACGTACATGACAATTAAAATGAACTTATGATCTGATTTACCTGTAAAATAATCTTGCAAATATATATGTGTGCTGAGGCTACTATATCATTCAAATAATGTTATCATGATCTCATTGTGAGCATAATATATTTTTCAATATGTCCTTGCTATAGTCATGAGTTTGCACAGGAGGGAGAACACAGCCTTAAAATGTAAAATGTATGTAGGCTAGGCATCCCTTTTCACCCCCTGCGGTGCGTTCTGTATACCGCATGCATTCAATATTTTCAACTTGTGCGTTGCTTTACGGTGCAGTGGTACAAACGGAAGTACACACAGACTCCAACTAGCTAGCTTTTAGCGAGTTGAAAAGCCAAGCACATGTGCATCAAGTAGGAAAAATGCGGCCGAGACATCAGGCAAAACAAAACGCATATGCATCTGGTGGACATCGGGCGTGACTGTTTGGTCTAGAAAATACACTCCTACTCAATAACAACTTTACTGAAGTTACTATGGCTGCATTTACACAGTCAGCCCAATTCTGATAGTTTTGTTCACAAATGTGTCTTTTGACCGACCAATCAGATCAGTATGGACAAAAGAGCGATCAGAATTGGGCGGCTACCTATGTACTCAATAGAAAAATCTGTCTTTATTTCTAAGTAAACTCTCCGTATTCATTGTACATTGTCCATCTCAGCCATTTGCAGACAATTGTGTTTAATGTTTTGTCGTCTTCCATTGGCTAAGCATAAGTGGTCTAGCAAATGGACACAGGTGAAATGTGATTGAGCTAATCAATGCACAGGCTTGAAACAGATATGTGATAATGTGTTGAGTTGTAATGTTTGTACTGTAGAATGCAAGTTTGTTTTGAAAACTTTAATGTTACCCATTGTTGTGTAAGCCTTTTGATTTACATGGTGCATCACCCAGCCCTTAACACATATTTTTAAAACCTGCCAACTACTCTTTCCTTTCTTTCCTGTTTTTCTCTCCCCTGTACACTGATCTAATGGCTCGATTCAAGCTTTGTCATAGTTTAATTTGACTATGGTGGTCTACTAGGTTTCATACATTGCATTTTCTTGTTCCAATTCTGTTTTAAATGTCTTGGACGTTATGGCATTTCCCACAGGTAGCAGGTGTCTGCAACATGTGTCATGTAGGCTATGTTGTATTTTACCTTTAACATCCGTGGTGGCATAATGTTCTTGTAGGTCAAATAATCATATAAAGTGAAGGGGCTGACATATTGTTTTTTCCATAGATACCGTAGATGCCCCATGTGGGAGCATTTCAGCTGATGGCCTTGCATTGCATATTGAGGTCCGCGATCCTTGACTCGAGAGACATCTCTGAATTAACCATCTGTGTCTAGGTTATGTATCTCTGCCTGTATGCCTATTTGATTTATGTCTATGATAAGGGCTGGAAATGTATGCATGTGCAGATTGTGCAACTACAATATGGCCTTCTCTACTGCAAATTGCCCTGGAACAGGCGAGACATTACATTAAAAATGTACATGGAGCCTTCTGCACAGCACAAAAAGTCAGTCAGCTAAATATTGTCTCTAACAGGCCACTGCACAACATGATTTGTCCAATGCCAAGGCTCACCCACTGTGCATTGTTTTCTATCTGGCCTTCTGAAATGTATTTCTACAAACTGACGTATTGTATTAATGCCTTTTTATTTCAAGCATATTTTGTGCACCCCCATGTCACAATTTAAAGTGGTTTCACAGATTGAGAGATTGAAGGAAGACACTGCTCTCCAGCAGAATAAAAAAAGCCAATAAGATAAAAACAAACATAAACGCTTCAGAAACCTTCCTACAGGGACAGCACAGGGAGAGTTCTTGTAAATACAGTAAAATAAAATTTAAAAAACATACCCAGTACAGCAATTTATTTTCTTCTCATTGAAATTGAAGTCTACCTTTATAGCCAGAGCATTTTTATTCCAAGCAGCAATTACAATGATCTATTACACCCATAATGTGAATGTATTCCTGATTTCAGCCATCAATCGTTTGAAATATACTTATTTTAATGCCATTATTTCAATCAAACCTCATTACAAGTGGAGAGTGTGCTTTCAAGTCAGCCTGCAAACCATTGGAATATTATATTTCACATTTCAAATGGTGTAAAGTGGGTTAGGCAATGTAATTTGATTCGCCAAATAACAACCAGCAGGTGGTGTTAGAGAGGGTCTCAAATTCAAATTGAGCAGAGAAAGTGTTCTTGAACGTTAATCCAGATCAGAATGGACAGAGTAGGCAGAACAACAAAGTGCAGATTGCAGAAGGAATTTAATTACCGTGGGCTGACACTCATCAGGGGGAGCGGCTTTCGCATTTGTACTTTTGTAGAATTTCGAATAGTTCCCTCGCATTTTGAGAGGCGTTAAATCACAAGATTATTGTGCAACCTCAAAGAAAGCGTGACAAAGAACGGGATTCGCTGGAGATATTATACGGACAAAGGAAACTGTATTCTAACAATTGACTTTAAACAATCGAACTACCACAATTGGGAACATATGAAATGGTTTCAAGTTATTTTTTTTCCTTCAGACCGTTTAAGGGTATCCGTGTTCCAGAAATGTAATGTAACGTAGC